AAAAGCTTATTCTTCTATTTCACGCCAAAGCTACACTTTTTCCAAGTAAATTTGCAAAGAAGCAACACGCGGTGCCACTGCTAAGGGAGCGGTACGTGAGAGACAACTGTCAGTTTATCGAACCTTGTATTATTGAATCATGGCGCCTAAATATATGCACTATTTATATACGTCACAGCGGAAATGGACGACGCGCCATTTCTTCAAATGAAATAAACTGCTGCTACAGGATTCAATTATTAAAGGTTTTGTAAGTAGCTATTTTCTAAAATTTGACACTCCCAACCACAGGGATTGTTTTTGGAAGCAGGAGAAAAAGGGGAAGAAATCAATCACACTTCCTAAATGGTAGCGAAATTCTACAAAAAGGCGTGGATAATGTTGCATCGTGGTGTTTTAATACAAAAACGAATTTGATTTAATTATTTAATTTAAACCAGCTTATTTACATCAAATTGTTATTAAAAATAAATAACAAGTTGCGTACGTCAGACGGCGTATAACTCAAGAATGGATGGTCCCCTTAGAGTTTATTGTTTGTCTACCTTATAAACTCTTTGCGGTACCATTTACATTAGATAGATAAGAAGAGCTATTTGTGTGTGGAAAAATTATGGAGTTTTGATTAATAAATGCCAAATAAAAACATTTGGAGCTTACGATTCTTTCGCGATTAAAGCTCGATTGCTTCGAATATGCTAATTCGAATTCCTTGATATTGCACTTTTAGTGTTCTGGGGAGATTATGTCGCCGTCAGAATATTAAACATTAGTTTATATAGTCGCATAGACACGCAGCTACTGAACGACTGAGACAGGGAACGTGATCTACATCGTCAAATGAGAAGTGTCGTAAGTGTGCAATTATATCGCGCCATTGACTAAACCGAGCTGTCGTGTTTTACGATTGGACCAATGGACGTGGTTTGCTAATATTATATTGCGTCAAAGTCTCATTCGGAGACACCAGCAGCCGAATTTCAGCATTCGCTATCGCTAATTTTGATCGATAAAGGTCTCCAAAAGAATAGCAGGCGCGCTTAACAACATGCAACGTTTAGTTACATGCTCCTCATACTGCCAGATTTGCCAGATTACACTTTGCTTCGGTTACTTTTCCATATTGCGTACTTTTAGGCCCCGCGGCTGTTAATTTAGAGAATTTTAGCGATGGAAATTTAGCATAGCGACGTCAGAATTCCACTGTAGGATTGTGTTGTGTAGGTCAATACCTAAATATCTTCGTTGGCTCATTTACCAGAACCATAGCGCGCTTTACTTTACTGCATTTAAGGGAGTTTCGCCTCTTTAGCCTGCATTGAATTTCTGTAGTCCACCCATTTTGTCTTGTTGTCGCCAGCGAATGAAGAACAAACATTTCTTCAAATTTAAAAAGTAAAAATTTCACTACTAAATTTAAAAAGTAAAAATTTCTCTACTAAAAAATTAAAAATGTTCTTAGAACCTGCAAAGAAATTTGAAAAATAAATATCACTGTTNGAATTTCTGTAGTCCACCCATTTTGTCTTGTTGTCGCCAGCGAATGAAGAACAAACATTTCTTCAAATTTAAAAAGTAAAAATTTCACTACTAAATTTAAAAAGTAAAAATTTCTCTACTAAAAAATTAAAAATGTTCTTAGAACCTGCAAAGAAATTTGAAAAATAAATATCACTGTTTTTGTTTTTGGGAGTAGGGTGGGAGTGTCAT